AAACAAACAAAGAAGAAAAGGAATATGATTCCTCGTTGATGGCAGTGCTCGACGATAAGCTTATAAAGTAATCGAACGAAAATCGCATTTCTCACACGGAAACAGACTTGTTTTATATAGATATATATATATTTCCTTCCATCTACCAAAGTGCATATCATTCAACATTCATGTTTCATTTACGATGATATACGTAAAATATTCCCATAAATACGGATGTTACATTTATAAAAAGTCTACTATAATCTAGATATAAGAAAGAAAATTAAATAAATCAATTTAATTTAAGGATTTTCGTTAGATTCACTTATACAGTCTTATTTCAAATTCTTGTTAACAATTTGGAGAAATAATTGCTTCTTAAGAATGCTTGAAGTTCAGATATTCCGAGGATAATATTTCACTCGAAATTCGTGAATGAAATGGAAAAATAAAATAAATGTTTTTCATAGAAATGGGTGTCCGCCCTTGCTCCTCTCCTCTCCTGGCATGATTTAGTGCACTTGAATTACGCTCTCCCCGCTCGATAATTAATGTGCCCCGAGCAATTTGCATAATTAAAGCGTGAAATTCGCTTTATGCACATATAATCCACGCACAGGCACCGTTCGTTAATATTAAAATTAAAGAATAAAAAAATATAATTGCAAAAAAAAAAACAAAAAAAATGAATTACATACATATATAACCAGATTTAAAGTGATTAGAAGATAATATCAAATAATTTACTTAGATTTCATACAAATATTAACTTTTTTCTTCTAGAATATTCTATTGAAAACACAGTTAGTTTTTGAATTCACTCAAAATTTACAAAATTAATCAAAATAAACTTTTAGATACTAAAATATTAACAATAAATAAAATACATCTTGGAGATGGATAAAATTAAAGTTATTGAATGATATTTTCTTATTGGTGTAAAGGTTTTAGATAATATATTTTGTATATACGTACGTAAGATCGTAAGTTCGTAAATTCTGAAAACGAGAAGATGTAACTTTGTAGACGTGAATAATGTAGGCCAATCAAGCAAATTGCGTGGAAAGACGTGGCTCTGCATATTGTGTATCAAGTAGACTAGATATGTTGTTTTTCTTTTATTAACTTATTGATTTAACATAAGAAACGTAATTATATATATATAATATATATTCATTCGGATTGTAATATTTGAAATTGTTCGTTTTCTCTGTCGCCAAACGATAAAGGTTTTCTTTGTTTTTTTTTTTATTTCCATCAAAACTTTATTACAAAACATTGTAAATCGGGAGTTTTTTCTAAACTTTACAGACACAAAAGAAAGTTTATATATATTTTTTTTTGTAATTCACTTTATTTTATTTCTGTACATTTAAAAACAACATAAAAGTTTACTATATGTATTTGTATGAATGAATCAAATAAGAATTAATGTAATGTTTAATTGTAAAATTTATGTTTAATTATTTTATAGAGTTATATTATTGATGAAGTGTGTACAAAGTTATTGTATTTCGGTAATCAAACAAAAAGTTTGAAAAATGTATGAATTGATCATGTAAGATATTTCTCTATGAAATAGTTACCTTAGTTAGTCATGTAAATAACGTTCATTTATAAAATGTTTTGGGAAAAAAAAAATTACGACTAAAGTAAAAAAAATTAAACAAAACACACACAAACAGAAATTGGTCACGTAAGATATTGTTGGTATTTGTAAAGTTTTGCTAATTTAGTTCACATGCAGCTCCAGCTGAACTAGTTATATTATTCATGAAGTGGTGTATGTATGTGACATGAGTATAATAATAGCTGAGATGAATACTCCAACAACAACAACAATAAAAATAAATAAATTGTTTACATAGAGAATTCGTTATGCAACTGCTGAAATTGTGATCGTTTCTAAATAATTTTCTGGAAGTTTTATTTTACCTGCGAGATGGATGGGGATGGGGATAGTGCTGGGGTGTCTCATCGGAACCGCCCCATCAACCGCCGCAGCCAACTCGAAGAACGTGGACCGGATGCATCGCTTAAAAGTCCGTCCCCCACCTCTTCGAAAACTTCACTTCATAGATCGAAGCACTTGCGAAATCCGGAAATCGGCATCGCTTACGAAAAACAATACAAAAATCGTGTGTGCGGTCAAGCTGCGCAAAACAAAAAAGGGACGATTTCGGTGTTTGATATATAGAAAACCAAAAAAAAAACGAAGAGTGTTTGAAACGAGAGAGAGAAAAACAAATGACGAGAACAAAATGCCGCAGCTTTGGAAAATCTTCGATTAAAAAGTTACATTAAATTAATTCGTTTTCGGTACCCGGCGCATCCGCCGTTTCCCAAATTACGATCATCTGGGTATGTATAAAATAATTATGAAATAATGATAAGATATTAACAATAACTAATAACAATTAATAATCTAATTGCATTTTGCATTAGGGTTTATTATGAAATAATAACTGTCGGGATTTCGATCCTCATTCCGATAATTCCATTATGAAAATGCGTTGAACCCGAATCGGTAAGTCTGAGGAGGAGGAGGAGAGTAGGAGGAGGAGAAGGCGGCAACGTCGCGTGTTAATCAACATTTAAATTAGGTTTAGGTTTCCCAATTAAAACTTGGCTTAATGAAGGGACCGCAGCGGAGGCGGCTCGAACGACGCCCTGTATTTATCTCATCTTAAGCGAAAGAATGTATATAAATAAAAGACAGTAAAAGCGGCTATAACTGAATGTTGGAAAAAACAAATGAAAAAAAATATATATAAATATACAAACATAATAATACGACCTCGTATTTTTCTCTCTCTCTCTCTAAATGATGAAAGCAAAAGTGTCTCTTGAGAACAATCCTATCAAACGTTGTGTGCGGTATTGTTGTTCGGTGTTTTTTATTTCATTTCTCGTTTCTCTATTCACCGTACATTGTACAAGTTTATGAAAGAGAGAGGCTCATTCCACCGTGAAAATAATCAAAAATAAAAACGTTACGCAACGCGACTACAATCATTTATGGATTATTTTTTTTGTAGTTACCACCGACAACACACGATTTCGATGTAATCACTGTGCGCAGACCATTTCATAAACATTAGCACTGTTTCACTTGGCGTAATCAATCATTCTTCTGGTTTTCAGAACGTATCAGCATTCTTTTTGTTTTTTGATTTTCAAGATTTCACAATTGCTCATCTAATTGTTATTTTACAACAATTATAATTCATATTTTTATATGTAATTATATTATTTTTTCTTAAAAAAAAGATAATTTTTGTCGTTTTTTTTATAAATATAAATTTTCAATGATTCAACAATTTCATATTAATAAAAAATAGTAATAATTAATTGAAATTTATCATTTCCTATTAAAGAATTAAATAATTTCATTTAAATTAATAAATAAATATACAATCAATATTACATACAAAATACTAATTTAAAACATACATTCTCGACGTTGTATAATATACGATTTTCAATTATAACATTTATTATTAAAAGCTACAAAACAATTATTTGATTGCGGTGTGCATTTCCATTAGAGCAAACGTTTCCCCGCGGTGTTTATTATAAATATATATATTAAATTAAAACATTGTAGTAAATTGTACTTAGTTGATGCTTTCACCATCGTATATAAAAATATTATATGTGTATGTAGTATATACATTTTACGGTTCAGCCCTTTTAGTAGCTGCACGGAATATTCATAAAACTGTTGTTTCCCTCAGTTTATTTATTATTTTTGTTTTGTTTATGAAAAGACCAAAGGAGATATTAAACAATGAATTGCTCGAGGAATATGAAAAGAGAGGAAGGAATATTATTGCAAAGTCTGCGTTTCTGCGAGATTAAAATGATGAAACCCCTTTTGAGATCTAGTCTTCTTGTATTAATGCTTTAATAAGAACGCATTAAATATTGACGTTGCACTGTATTGTGTTGATATATGCTTCTTTTTTGTTGTTGTTGCAGTTGATGTTGAATCGTGCAGCATATTTTATTCCTTGGAATTCAGCCGAAAGATATTTATTGTACTTTACAACAATACGAGAAGATATTAAAAGGAACGTTTCGTTACAAATCCTCGAGGAATACGAGGAGATATTAAAATATATATATATATATATATATATTGCTTTATATAAGCTTAGATTTTAACATTTATTTTAAATAAATATAGTAAATGATTTTTAGGATTTATTACAATAGCTCAAATTTTATAAATATTAAAAGCATTTCATATTCTGTAATATTTCATTAAACTTAAAACTGATTTAAAAAATTCAGTATAAAAGTTTAAAAGGGTCAGAAAGACTTATGGTCGACAGCCCTTTGTAGCAATTCATTTTATTTTTTATACTCTTGTTATATTATGTTATTTTTTTTGTAGTATGATTTGTTACAATACATTTTATTATATATAAATAAGAAATATAAAAGAAACATGAAAATAGATTTATTTTTCAATTTAAAATTTCTGCTTGTTTTAAACGTTACATTGTTATGACTTAATTAAGAACGTTAATATTACGACTGACCCGGTTTTCGCTTCTTGCCGTTGGTTGCATAATGTTAATCATTTTTTTCCAAAAAAAAAAAAGAAGGGGGCAACGGAACGAAACGAAAAATTTAATTATTTTGTACGCCGTTTAAACGAAGTAAAAATAAAACGGGAAAAGGAAAAAATATAAGGGTGGAAACTTGTTCTTTAATAATAAAGTCCATTTCATCAACAACACAAAAAAAAACAGAAGAAGTAAAACCCTCTCTCTCTCTCTCCTTTTCACGTAGCCTCCTCGAATCCACTTAGTTTCCTTTTAATTGAAAACTTTGATCCCGAAATATCTTGTAACAATCTCCACCTTCTGAACCCGACTCTTGCGTCCCGACCCCGTTTTGTTTGTTTTTAGAGTGGCGTTTCGGTTACGCAAACGGCGAATAATTTGCGACCATTGTTTGGCGTGTGTCGTGTTCCTTTGCAATTCATACTAATTCAATTAGTGACGGTAGACGGTATCCTCTCACCTCGCTTTCGGACAACACCCTTCACAATGCATCCATCATCAAAGGCGCGGAATCGGGTTTCGTCAGATACTTTTCGAATGATGTCTATCTGTCTGTCTGTCTGCATCCTCGCTTTAATTGCCACTTCAATTTTCTGAATAAAACGAATATAATGAAGTCGACTCAACGCTTAATTGGATCAACGAAATCTGTTTTTGTATACGATAAAATATGACTGAATTCATCAAATTATGTTAGAATGATAAATACTCTTTATGTTTAATTCGAGTGAAAAAATCTATACATTTTTGTATATGAAATACTGGTAAGATGTAAATAATGAAAATTCTGTAATAAATATTCCTTAATTTACAATTTGTACATAAATGTACAATTAAACCACGATTCACGATTAATTAAACCAAGAAAATCTATATTTTTGTAAGATAAAAATGAAAATTTTGTTTTCTTATGATATAGTATCTTTTTTTTATTATCAGAGTTGTGGTGTAGTAGTTTATACACATATTAATCTAAAATTTTGTAAGAAATAAATTATAAAATAATTAGTTTAAAAGTTTTGTAAATATTATAGAATAACAAATATGAAATTAATTTCTAACTAATTGTATTAATCTTGTTTATTAAATAATAATTTACTAAAATATTATGTTTTATTATGTAAAATGTATGCAACTAATTAATATACAATTTAGAGAGAGAGAAAAGAAAAAAACGACCAAAACCAAATACATTTACTGTGAATATTGTCGCTATGAAGCTAAGTGCTTTATGAATATTCAAACTTGTGGAAACGTCGGTATATTCCATTAAATATGGGCGTTTCGCAAATCCACTTCCATCACCTAAAAACATTAAATTTCTAAAAAATTAATGGATGCACGTAGCCCAATACTAAATGCACCAAAAACTGTAATATTTCTAAAGTAAAAAAGTGAAGTAAACAAGTGATGAAATGATAAATATACATTCAAAATACAACTTTTATTGTAACTATTATTGCTGTTTTCATTTTCTGAATATAATTTGTAATTAATTATTGCGAAATTAATTACTTTGCTAACTTTCATGAGAGCGAAAACAAACAAGCGGTGATGCAGCGGGGTTAAACCGCGAGAAGTTGCCGAACGATATACGTCGGATGTAAAATTTTTGACTGTTTGATTACCAACTTTGGCGCGAGTTTTCTGGAGAGGAGGAGGACGAGGAGGAAAATTAATTAAAGAGCTTTAAGCCGCTTACGAAGACATTTAAAATCTCGTTTCGGATATGAAATAAAAACGGCAATGTTTATGGTAGTTTCGTGTTATGTAATTACTTCTGTTCCATTGCGTATCGGATTACACTTTTTTCTCGATTGTCAAAGTGTCCGTGTTTTTTACGTTTTTTTTTAGTTGCGCGTGTCTCTTGTAATGAAATTTCTTGAACCGAAGAAGAGCCGAGAGCGTCTCGTTCGGTGATGCAATTTACGCCCCTCCGAGTTTGCCAAATATCATCGAGCAATATCACAGTAAAAAGTAAATAAAGTAGAAATTCGTTTCACTTTTTTCAATAATTTAATTGTAGGCGTTTGCAAACAGTTTGCGTAATATTTGCTTTAGAATTGGCTGCAAAAGTTATGTTATTTTTTTTGCTTTTTTTTATAAAAACTTATGTAATCTAGATATAGGTAATTTGTGTGCTCAGTGTCTAGGATTATGCATGGAAAGCATTAATGGATTACACAAGATAATCTTGGCTTTAAAACCTCTCTGTTTTGTGTACTAATCTAGACGTTCATAACGTCGTACTAAAACTTCTGTTAAATTTACGGTATAAAAAAAATGTTCTTCCAAATATTCTATTCTATTTATAGAAAATAATAATTACATAACTTTATTTTAATATATAAGATAATTCAAATCTTATAACAAATTCAGATTCTGAGAAAATCACAGAAAAATGAAGACACTGCTCTTTGGAGAGATCATTTTTCATTAGCTGTATCATAAATTGTATATCTTGAGATATAATTAATAGATTCAATGGTTCAATTAAGATTTACTTGTAAATAAATGTAGAAGATATAAATATTGAGTATGATTATCAATGATCAAAATTAATTAATTATTAAAATAACAGAAAGTTGATTTTGTAAATAAAAGTATAGAAAGTTTAGGAATTGCAAGTTGCAGTTAATGCAATAACCTTCCGGACATGATTAATAATTAAATCACCTCTGCTTGTTCGTGCGTTTTCCACTCTCTTTCTCTGCCTCTCTTTCCCTTTGCGCTTCAACAACTTAATTAAAAAAACGTTTGCACTCCCAAATTGCCGAGGGATCATCGGACTCGAGCGTTAATTAATCAGAACTCTGCAGCAAACGAAAAGGAGGAACAAAACAAAACAAAAACATATGTAAAGAAATAAATAAAGTGAAAGTAAGAAAATGAACAACAACAACAATAACAAAGGAAGCGTACTTGTATTTCCCTATTTCATGATTTCGGGCGGGTCCTGTTCCCATTCATTAAACATAATGCGGTGGCCGCAGGGGTCGAACCGGCAAATGAACGGCGGTGGCAGAAGGACCTTTACCCTTTGCCCTCAGCAGAACCCAGTTCCTCCCTTTCCCCCCACATTCCATACATCTGAATTAATAACTCGACGCACTTAATAATGCAATGGAAGCCGTTGGATGGAAATGCCCACATTTATATGTTCCATACACAAGCTTCAATTTATCAATGGGAAAAACAAGGAAACTAAGGGAACGACGGATGATGATGATAATAATATTAAAATAGGGACTATATAACCTGAATTCCTGCAGCCGAAGGCCGCACTCGTAAACAACTGCAAATAAACATTTCGACGATTAGTTTAATTCCATTGTAAACACCGAACTGTTATTGCATTATTATCGATGATGATATTATTATTATTTTTCTTTGCTTGCTTTTTTTTTTGTCCAGATTATATTGATCATACTTTATTATACAAATACAAAAGCAGGACAAATAATGTGTGTGTGAGTGTTGAGTTTTCTCTTTTTGGTTCTCTCTAGTTTTATTTTTTTGGGAGGCCCAAATACGACAAAAATTTGAACCCTTTTGTTGCAAAAATATGGAATGTTTTGTGTACGCTCCCATTACATGGAAATAATCCCGCATAAAAATTGATTTACATTGTTGGTAAATACAATACAAACCTCAGGGTATATGTGAACAAAAAAATGATAGAATTTTATATAAAAAATAATATTAATTATATTTCATAAAAGATATATGTTTTCTAGAGATTTTCATTATGAAATACATAATTGAATCTTGTTTAAGAAAAAACATACATTTTGAAGAGATTATATACATAAAATACTATGTGTAATCATTACTATTGTAGAAATTTGGAATAATTATTGTTGAATGTTGTTTTTAAGAAAAAATAAATAAATTTTATATTGGAAAATTGTTATGTAATTCATACATTTGACATAAATTTGTCATTGACATAAAAATGCAAATTGTAATAATTATTTTTTATACTAGTATAGTGTTTCAAAGTTTAATCTATTTTTGTTAAAAGTATATTAAAAGTATATTTAATCCTTTATCAATGTAATAAATATATTTAATATATATGAAAGTGAAATAAAATTAACGAGAAACGAAAAATCAAATATTATTATATTATTTTTTTTTAATGAAATTTTAACAAGCTGTCAAACATTTCAAAATAAAATATTGAAGTACATTAAAAGATTCCCAAATCATCTCCGGATCAACAAGATTAAGGAAAGTTAGGAAAGAAGTAAATTGAAGAAGGTTAGAAGTGTTTAGAAGTTTTCGAACTAAACTTGAAGGAATTTTTAAATTCCATCTGAAAGGGTCGAAATCCTATGATTTATGCATATCTTTTTAGTTGTTTTTCAATTGATTTATGAAATTATTAATTTACCTATTTTTAGTGGCCTTAATTGAAAAACAAAATAAAATAAAAAATGTTTTCCAGAGCAACACACTTATTTGTAATAAATATCCTTCATGAATTAAACATACAATCACTGCATGTCTTTTATTTTTTCACCCTCGCTTACGCGGATGACCGGAAGCGGAATAAAAAGCACCTGTTCCGGTATGCACGGATTAAATGCGCAATGCGACGTCGTGCGAAGGGAAGCGAAAATTAAAAAAAAAAAAAACGAGAGAGAAATGAAAGAAAATGAAACTAAAAAAGTGTATATATTAAAACAAAAAAATATATGAATATATTAATGCGGGGACGGTGGTTAATTTATTGGACGTGTCCCGAAAATTAATTACGCCCCAAATAAATATTAATTATACGAAACGTTCATTCGCGTTTTCTTATCGTAGCAGTAATAAAACGGAACCCCTCAAAAAAGAATTAAATAAAATGATAAAAACGAAAACGCGCAGAATTGTGATAATATTAAAAAAAACGAGGTTACAAATTCGTCAACTAATATCAATGATATTAATTAATTTGGATGGAACAAGTGGGAAATTCCATTGTATTAAGTATATGTCATAAATCCGAGGATCACAACAGAATCCTACAGACATATATACATTTTCATTTCTCGCATCTCTTTCCATCGTGCATTTTCTTCTGGTAGCAATCTTAGTGAGAGGTTCTGAGTTACCGAGTAAAATGAACGTAAAATAAAAACGAAACTTTTCCATCGCATTTTTTCTCTCTCTCTCTCTCTCTCTCTCTCTGCATTCTCGAGGATTTTCCAATTCGAAATTTTTCATTATTTTAATGAATACATAATTTCCATTTTAAATTAAACGTTTCGTTCCGAACAATTGCGCGCTCGATTCGCAACGTTTTTGTTTAACAATTAACGTGTGCGAATTTCATTTTCAACAAATTCAATAATAATAAAATCCAAATAAAATAATTGTTTTTTTTTAATTCTTCGTTTCATGAATTAAGTTGAAATTTCTTTCCTATATTATATTCGGTATTTTCAATAAAATTATTTTAAAGTTTAGGAATTAAACATATATCTGATAAAATGTAAAATTAAGAAAATCTAATATTTTTGCAGAATTATTCATATTATAATAATAGTTGTATGTAATTTATTATTGTAATAATGAAATTCATCTCTTCTTTTTTTATGAATGAATGTAGAAATTCTTTTTGTGAAATGCAAATTCCTTAAATACAATAATTACTGTATGAATCATTTATGGTTGACTAATATGAACATCGCCTGTTTTATGACGCGCATGTTGTGAGCAGAACAATGCGTAATATCTCCGATTAGAACCTTATGCAAAATGCCGTTCAAATACTTAAAGAAATTCATTTAATTTCATAAAGTTTTTTTTTTAACAAATACGACTTTGTATAATTTGTATTTCAGTCTATGATCATTAGCACTAATATGTTTTATTAAAATTGATATATTTTTACGAATTTATATGAACTTCAGGAGCTGAAAACTCTTAAATAACGTTCAATTATATTTCAAAAGCTGAAAATGAACTGATTAATAATAATAATACATTATAAATATACAAAATGCACTGAAATACTTTCAAAAACTTATTTTTTCGACAATACTTCAGACGCTCATAAATTCATGTTTTTTATAGGTTTTATTTTGATTTTACTGAAATAACTCTTACTCTTTATGAAGTGAACAATACGCAATGTTTCGAATTCAAACCTGACAAATATTATGTAAAAAATACAAATTTGTTAGTTAAGAAATCTTATATATTTCACGCTTTATGAAGTGAACAATGCGTAGTACCAAATATTATGAATAAAAATTAGTGTATAAATTATTATACGACTTATACATTTCAAAAGCTAAATTCATTATTATTTTAACTAATTATGACTTTAACAATACTAGGTTTCGTGAAGTAAATACTAAAAATGTTATTAAAGCTTCAACGAGAATTTAACAAAGTTTATTTATTTTACTACCAAAAAAAAAAAACTTAAGTCTGTGTATATTTCGGAAGCTGAAATAATATTATGCAAGTTTCAATAAATATAGTTGAACAAAGCTTTGTTTACTTTTTACTACAGCAATTAAAATATTGAATAATTATAACGCTCATATTTTCAGATTTTGTGTTATTATCAATGGGTAAAATATTGATTTTGATTATGACAAATATTGTATAAAGTTTTAGTTAACGATGTGTATTTTCATGAGCGTGACTAATTCGATTATTGTGTTGATCATGTTTTCAGGCTTTGTCTATCACGGTTTCAAAGCTGAAATACTATTATGAAAATAGTACGAATTTCAGAAGCTGAATTAATCAAGTCTACGTCTTTCAGCATAAACAATTGCGTAGCATAGTAAAGATCACGTCAACGGGAATAAACAATTACTAATTAGCGGAAGATAAACAAAAAAAAAACGGAATATGAATTAATTTCGAAGCTGCGGACATTTTGTCGTCGTATTATGTTTTTGTTTATCCCTGCATGCTTTTTGTATAGGTTAGTTTACGTTTTGTTGTTGCTGCTGCTGCTTCAGATGTTGTTTGTTCTTTTTTGTTGTTACTTTTGTACCGTTTTCTGTTGATCAATAAATAAAAATGTATAACAATTTGTGTGTTTCGGTGTCTACTGCACTGCACGAGGACGCCTCGGGGCTCCGACCTTTCGCACGATCGCGTCTGTTCTCGCGACGGGACGACGCATGGGGACGTCGCGACGCTCGGACACGGACTAACTTGGGACATTGCGGAGCGTCGCGACGTCCCGCATCCGACGACGCGTCGTTCGTTCGCTCGTACGCCCTGCGCCGTGACATGCGCCCACATAAATTCAACCCCGCATCGAAAAAAAAAACAAATAATAAAAATAATCCAAACAAAATAATAAATGTACGATGCGGAGAGAATCGTGTAATAGTCAACAACGAAAAGAACGGATGGAATAAACAACACGAAATCGTACTTCGTAAGATATAAATATCCAAACTTACTTTATTAGTTTTCGGAAAATTAAGTAAAATGTTAATGATCATCTAATTTAATACATATAAAACTGCAAAAAATCGCATGCTTTTAGATAAGAAACTGTTATTGCAAATATACGTGACTAGAATGAAATATTCCTTCATACAATGCACATTTCAGCAGCTTTATTTTTCTTTTCATTATTTGTAAATATTCTATGAGATATTTTACTAATTAAGCATTGAAAATGTCTATAATAATATTTATAAAAGTATTTTCAATTGAAATGTAACATGTATTCCATGGCTAATTAGTAATAGAAACAAAGAACATCAAAAGCTTTCGGTTCAATATATCGTAGGGATAATCACAAGTTAATCTAGGCAATACAAAGAGACTAAGCTCGATTCAAATATAAATGGATTTAATTTATAAAACAGACTGAATGGAACGCTCCAATCCACCGGCTTTATAATTATCAATAGAGAACTAATTTATTGAACTATAAATCCATATTTCACAGCACGTCACAGAAAAAGACAAACCGACACACTGGAATCTCTTCAATTAAATACAGAGCATTTGTAATTAACGATGTTTCAAAACTCAAAGAAACCTGTATTCACTTAATTGAAGTGGAAATTGAAACCGTCAGAGGCAGGAACGTTAGATAAAATTACTTTGAAAAAAAAATAATAATTAAAAAATAAATAACGCACGTGGCGTACAATTGACTTTACTTGAGAAGGAATCGTTTCTTAATTGGAAACAAATCACAGATTGTGTAACCTCATCCTTGTCTATTGCGAAGACAGGTGTCCGGTAAACACGCCTCCTTGATATACAGGAGAGGAATGAAACAACAAAGAAACATTTATAGTAAAAAGAATAGCAGAAGAAGGGACACAGTAATCCTCTGAAGTACAATACAATGTCTTCTTGCGCTAATTACGGCCCTCGCGTAAATCTAAATTAAATTCGCGTGGCAATTAATTATACGCATTATTTATTACTGCGCAGATTGCGACGTGTTTTCTTCTCCCGTGAATCACGTTTAACGTTGCTCTAATCTCTGCAGAGAACTTCAAAGCAAAATCGCAAAGAGACTTCTTGGGTTTTGCACATTTCCAACCAACTACAATCATAACATTCTAGTTAATTAATCTTAGCTTCTTCTTTAACTTATATATTTTGCTCAATTATTTGATAGAAACATAAAATTAAATCCCAACAAAAAAAAAATTATTTACACAATACACAAAACAAATATACCAACTCAATTAACTCACCAATTATGAATGAAAACTTTCAATCAGCAATTTACCAAAATCAATAAATAATTCAATTTATTTCGAAGAGATGCACGTTTGAGCACTAAACTACAAATTAATTACAACTTATGAAAATAATTCTTTCATACTGATGAAAACTTAAACACACTTTTAAACAATATACCGAATAAATAACAATGAATAATTTGATTCAGTTGAAATATTGATGCACGTTTCAGACACAAACTAAATCTACTAAAATAGACTTTATCTCTAGCATAGATTTTTTTAAACCATTTCTACACGTTTTATTTACAGATAACAAAATCAAAAATTTCAAAATTATTTATAAATCCATCATACATTTGAATTTGAACAATTCTTAAATTTAATAAAAATGTATAAGAAATAATAAACACTGAGCTACTTGAATTACCTGCAAAATGCTACAATAGTTCATTTTATTTTTTTATTTACGTGTTCGTGAAAAGTAAAGAAAAAGCGAAACTGCTGCAATCTTAATGGAAATCTGTAAGTGGGTTTTCGGTTATATAATTTATTTTCTTTATTTTTTTGTCAGTGTTTGCGAATGTTTCCGAATTTCGGTGCCGATGAGACAGACAGTTTATGGTAACAGCAAAAAAATATATATAGACAAACTTCATGGAATGTTTTCCGATAAAGATCGCAATTTATATGTTACGAAACATCCTGGTGTAATTTTCTTCTGTAAAATCGATAGTTTTTTTTTGTATTCTGTAATTTTGTTACATTTCTTTTAAATTGTCTTTAACTTTGTAGATTGATACGTTTATTATATTATAACTAATTTTATCCACGTTAATATTTCATATTTATTTTTATTATTTAATTTATATATTTTTGTAAAGATTTTTCTGATTATTTTCTACTTTTAATACTGTGAATGTATCAAAAGTTGTCTCAATTGATGTTGATAGATCTAAATTCAATAAGTAAATAAATATATTTGATAGGACAACGTACATTTTCTTGGTTGTTTTTTTTTCAATGATTATTTCTGTCAGCAAATAAGTTCCCTATATTTTCTAATAATTTTGTTTGTAAATATGATCAAAACATATGATGTTTTTATACAAAAAAAAACACTTTCCTCTCGATTTCTTAAATCCGATTCAACATCTGAATTAAGTAGAAAATCCGGTCCTATTTAAGGGAAAGCCCGGATTTGGATCAATGGCCATTTTGGGGTTTCCTTTCCCTCTTCGCTCCTGCAGTTATACAATTATTATCGCATCGTTGGGGGGTTGAAAAGGTTTCATGAGAAAGGAAAATCTTAAAGAAAGAATGGCAATAATACACACGTAACAATAATAGTGAGAAGCAAAAGGACTGAAAAGAAAACTTGTGTGTGTGTGTGAGGAAAACTTGAAGTTCAGCGTATAGGTCGAGTGTTGGTCGTGCAGATAACGCGGAGACCGCGGCAATTAAAAATATGCATAGATCGTTGAAAAGCTGCGTGCAACGACGACAAAAATAATAAAAAAATATATAAGCGAGGGTGAATACGACAGATCTTTGATACATGCGGATTTGCGTGTGTCGGACGGAGATGGAACGATGAAAATGCAAAACAAAAGAACAGCCGACACACAATCAGGGCACACGCAATACATTAACAAAGTGCTAGGGGAAAAAAACCAGAGATATGTGTGTGAGAGAGAAGGATGGAGATTGTGTAATGGGGGGAAAATAAATGAAAATAAAAAAATAGGTGAAAATCACGCTTCATTAACAATTCCATGACTTTAAAAAAAATATAATTAAATTAAAATAATAAATAAATAATAGTTTTGACTGTGGAAGAATAAATTAAAAAAGAAAAAACGATATGAAAAACGATGTGAACAACAAACGGGAATGTATTTTCGAAGTGGAAATCTGTAAGTCGTGTAACGATAACAATGGAATAATTGTATTCGACGAATGTTTCGATGAGAATTTGTATTATTTGTTAAAAAATAAATATAAAATCAAGTTTTTTCTTTTTATATACTAAAGAATCCTAATTAATATTTATTAATTAACTATATTAATATATTGATAGTTTTTCTTTCAGTTTATTTGTATTTTTTTATAACATGAAATTGTCTTATTATTTAATATAGAAACATCATGCATTTTCAATTTATTTTGGAATTAGTTAGTGCAGTTTTGTTGGTTCATCGTGCGCACGTTATGCACATGCTTTAATCATCTCGTAATGAATATTTTATTTGTACAGTTTTTGTTCCACTTCGCTCTTTCTATCTCTCTTTATTATTATGTCAGCTGTTGCCCAATGCTCGTGTTCTATAAATAATGGAGGGATGCCCTTTCTACGTCCAACTATACCACTACAATTGCTCATATTTCCTTCATTATACTTTATTTTTCGTGTTCCGACCGCTGTTCCATACCTCCATAACGTCCTCCACAGTTTATAACTACATTCTTCAAATGTTATTGCCCTTTTTATCCCCATACAATCAAAATGTTATACAATAATAAACATATGGAAAAAAAATCGAGACGTCTGAATTTCAGTCTTTTCTTTCAATATCTGTTGTACAGGTTCATTTCAATCAATATCTCGCTAATTTTTTTATGTCATAGTATATTTAATATACAATCGTATTCCTGCAAACATTAATTAAATCTAATGGCGGTAGACTTTTTTTTTTTTTTTGGTAAACTTCCCAATTGAAGTTTTTACCATTATATTCTTCTGTAATTTGTTGGTTGGCTGCCGCCTTGTAGGTTAACTTCACTGAATATTTATGTGTAAGTTTTTGATGACTAAATAAGAAAAGAATATACGTTGACCTATAAGAAAAATCCATGATAATATTTGTGTAACGAATTAAGATGTTTGTTTATGAGGATTTAATATAAATTGCGCAGTGCGATGTAAACATATTTGCGTTCTCTCCGCAAAGATTACGTAGTTTTCAAGGGTTTTTGCACAGGATAATTGTGACGTTCGCAATCATGGAAATGGCAAACAAAACGTAATTACACATTGTTTGCTCCTAAGTACAGAAGATAAATGATAATAATAAAAAAAAAAAGGTACAATCCGCGTAATCCTGTGAGGTTGTAAATTGAAGAAGAGAAAATAAATTTAAAGACCCAAATGTGCGGCACCATGGAAAACCGCTCAAGGAGAAAAGGAATGAGAGGAGAGCCCATTGTGGTATGCATGTATCAGATTCTGGCAACATTTTAACATGTTTGCTTTTAAGGCTGAAGAGGATGTTGTAGCGTTCAACGTACGCATACGTGTAGGTGTG